CTGCAAGGAAACAATGAGTGCTTAATAGATATTTTATCATGATAAATTCAAATATATCCGGTCTAACTAAATTGTCATACATCTGAACCTCAAACGTCCGCTAACCATGCGTTACAAAAATTTCATCAAAAATTTTGATCCTTACTGTTTAACTCGCGTTTGATAAAATATCTGATAAAATTTTGTTCAAAATAATACAGATTTACTACAGTAGAAATTTAGCAGTAACCCATTTAAAATTGTAAACCAACCATTAGATGGGTTGTAATTTGTAGCGGATCCTTTATGGTAGCGTATACGATTTTTATAAAAACACTTAAACTTAAGATTTGTATAATGTTTCAACGCTTTAATGCATTGCTTAAGGTCATTCAGTGCGCCTTTTGTCTGGACGTTTTTTTGATCACATTTCGGATGGTAAGTTTTTTAATGGATGAATTTCATGTGATGTTTTTTTCGTTCATTACTTGTGGGCGTGGGGCATAAAGCTCTAGTCTGTTACTGATTTTTTTTGATCATGCGAAATGGTCGCTTAAATATTTTCCCTTATGAGGGCTTTTAAGTCGTGACTACCATTTGCAAATGGTGGCCATACTACTTATAGTTTCTTAACCTCTCATTCTGTCTAAATTTATTTTTTATGTCTCGTCTTTCGTAGTTGTGAATGCTTCCACGTGATGACGGATTTCCCCCTAAAAATTGGTGATTTTACAGGTACTTCAACGCTTCTTCCTCGTCATCAGCTAATTTTTGTTCTAAAGTTCTTGCACCCTCCTTTTTTTGCGAATAGCACTTTTCCCCTGAAAGTTTTGATCCTGTTGACTCGTCTGGCTGATGTTTCCTTTTATTTTTTACAGCCTTTTATTCTGATTACTCGGTTCCTGCCTTTTTTTAGTAATTAGTGCTACACTTGGTGAAGGTGTGAGACACTATCTGTATGCCGTGTCCAGGTCTTCGACCGATGTCAGGGTTTACAATATTCCCTCGTTTTACAACACGACAACTCTGCGCAAATTTTTTGCTTCCTTTGGTCCAGTAGCGCGCATACTCCATGACAAAGTACATGAAGTTGAACGTTTTTGAAAGTGATGCACTCCATATGCAAGCATCTCTTATGTCTCTCGATTGAAAGTGTTTTATGACATCACATATTCCAAGTCTAGTTCTTTAGTTCAGCCTAGAAGCCTTGTTTTTTTGTAGAAAGACTGTTCAGTGCGCGTCTCATATAAATTGAAGAAATCTGCGGACACGCTACTCAGCACTCCTATGACCGTCTCTTACGATTTTGAACTTCCAAAGGCAGCCTTCAGACGTAGGTGCAGTGCCTTACACACTAGCTCTTGTCTGCTTAAATGCATTGACTTTTCGAAGAAATCGAGAGCGTTTATCTGAGTTTACAAGCATTGCATTCGCTTTAGCCTCAAAGGTTTTTGCATTAATCCTCGTCCATTCATCAACACGCATATTTAAATTTTTAGAGATCATTGAGGATAGCGGGTCGTCATGGACGAACGGTCCGAAAGCGATGAAGGAGCAATCGGAGAATTTTCTACAGCAGTACTACAGGGAGAAATTATCCAAGAATTCTGACTCAGACGAAGAATCGGGTGAATGGACCGTGATTAAAACTAAAAGACGACGCCTACGGTAACTGTTCATCCATTTAATACAGTCGTTTCCACTGGGCAATGACACCTCGAAGTCAACGCCATTCATACACTAACTATTGGGTGGTGATGTCCCTATGCGTGCCGGTTCCTTAGTGTGGCCACTCCTAGCATGAGCAGAAGGAGCGTTCTTCACATGCAACGAACCTGAATTGAAGTACTTAAACAGGCCTTCTGCAATCCATTGTCAGCGCACCGAATCAGGTGACTTCGGAAGCGTATCACAGCCTACCATCTGTAATCGGGATAGCAAGTGGGCATGTAGAAGTACCATCACTAAAACTTACAACTAAGAATTGGGCCAGATAGCATTCCCATCACTACTCTATCGTCAGAGTAAAAATCAGAGCAGAACCAAAATGTCGGCAACCGAGTTTTATCACACTCATTTAGAAATCAACAATGGAAGCTTAGAGTGAACGACCGTAGTTTATGTGTATTTTGAGGCACTAGCGCGCCAAAGCATGTAGGGCATTGCCAGGCAGGGTCCCATGATGAATGCAAAGCATATCCACTCCATCTAAAGAGGTCAGATATCGATAGGAAAGACCTACCCAGTGTGAAGAAAACTGTCGATTGAAAACTGAAGGAGTTAGAATTAAACGCATTCCAGGAGCGGAAGAATAGCCGTACTGAAACGACAATAAATCAGGTTGCAAAGATTGTAGTTCCGCATGCAGAAGACAAGCTAGTATTCACGCACTGTCACTGTGCCATCTGGACCGGCTTTGTATGTTACTTCCGCACTGGTGAAATTAAAGTAACCAGCAGACCGGGGAATAACTATCACAGAGTGGGTAATGTTAGACATAGGGAGAATGACAGGCCATCTGGTCGAACGACTTCCATGAACAAAGGAGAAATCGGATTCTGGAAGACGATCATGGATCTCCACGTCTCGAGCAGCTCTCCAAAAGAAAGTAATAAAAAAAATGAAAACCGGCATACCTGGGACTGAGATTGTGAATCGTGTAAAGTAGAGTGACTTCCTTTGCTTCAACCAGATAACGATTCAACACTTCTTTCGTTACTACAAGTCTCGCTCGATCACCTAATTCAGGATGCTCCGAAGTGCACAGAACGCATCGAAGGACAAGTGCTAGAATACACACTAGTTTCCCAATTATGGTTGGATCGAAAACGCGTGGACGCACTCTTCCTCAAAAAAAAACGAAAAAATTGACTGAAAACGAAAGGAATGGGATACCCACAAAAGCACTAATTTAAGACACTACGATCATACCTAAAAAGTGCGTTTAATAGCTGTTTGGGAAAAAATGAATACACTTGCATGTGAAAGGGCCTATTAATCTGCGTGACAAAGATACAAAGAACGTTGATTTTCGTCTACCAGTATTAAACAAAACTGGGTCTAACATAACTCACACAACTAAACCACAGCCCATCATGGATGCCGCCAAAATGATAGCGGGAACGTGGCACAATTTAGCTACACCGGATATATTTGAATTTATCATGATAAAATATCTATTAAGCACTCATTGTTTCCTTGCAG